GCGTCTTTTAGTTTGGGTACTTGGAAAAGCTTCAGGTCAACTCGCCCAGTGGACCGAAGCCGTCTCCAATAAAAATCATTGAGTTACAGCGTGAAGTAAGGCCTATAATATCACACTAGCAGCCATGCTAAAAACAGCTTAATAGATGGATAGCGATAGAGGAGCATTGCGCATCAAGTTCAGAATGTCGCCCCCGGATGCCGCTTCCTTCTGGAAGTTGAGCGGGGCTTCATTCGAACACAACGGATCCAATTTTGCCTTAACAGATGTACACCCCTGTAATAGTTGTTGGTTGGAGGACCATGCGAACCCGGACTGTTGGTGGTTTGGATCGCCCTGTAACGCAGTCATGTCCTGGCACTTGATTTTTAACCATACTGCTCCGAGTAAGGCCATGGTATCACGGATGGAGGAGGATACGGCCCCAAAGAAGGGGAAGAAGGTTTCTAAGAAGAGGGCTAAGGGCTAGCGGGAAGGCAACGAATGTATAATATCATGCGCACTCATTAGATCATATGCTTGTAGTACTGTACGGTCTCGAACGATTGCATTGCTTTTTTCTTCTTTTCTAAAATGCGAGCGTGAAAGACCCCGTCTTCTTTAGACAACCCAGCGGTAAGTTTTTTGTCACGTGGGCAGTTTAGGGCAGGTCCGAGGAAACTTGGAAATGCTCGAGGTAGCCCGATAAGAAAAGCCACAAAAGATAAACAACATCCTGATAGTAAGACTTCAAAGAACGGGCGAGATCCGTTCAATGAAGACTTACTGTCAATACAAAAACACTAACACCTCACTAACAATCATACTAATAACATCACTACAACTTCCTTACCTTACTACAACCTCCTTACCTTACTACAACCTCCTTACTTATACACTTTCATTCTAAGACTTGCTTGGGATTGGGTACTACAATCTTGGGTAGAGGCTAAGAAAGGTTTGTAACAAGTGTGTAAAAGCACTCCTTACACTCCTAGAAAGGATCACTAGTATAACTACAATCTCCTTACTTATAAACTTTCACTCTAAGTACTTGCTTAAGATTGGGTACTACAATCTTGAGTAGGGGCTGAGAAAGGATTGTAACAAGTGTTGAAAGCATCCCTTGCACTCCTAAGGGACTGTAACAGATGTTTGAAGCACTCCTTGCACTTCTAGAAAAGACTACTAACATCACTACAACCTCATTACTTACAAGCTTTCAATCTGAGTACTTGCTTGGGATTGGGCATACAATCTTGAGTAGGGGCTAAGAAAGGATTGTAACAAGTGTTGAAAGCATCCCTTGCACTCCTAAGGGACTGTAACAGATGTTTGAAGCACTCCTTGCACTCCTAGAAAGGATGACTAAGCATCACTACAACCTCATTACTTACAAGCTTTCAATCTGAGTACTTGCTTGGGATTGGGCATACAATCTTGAGTAGGGGCTAAGAAAGGATTGTAACAAGTGTTGAAAGCATCCCTTGCACTCCTAAGGGACTGTAACAGATGTTTGAAGCACTCCTTGCACTTCTAGAAAAGACTACTAACATCACTACAACCTCATTACTTACAAGCTTTCAATCTGAGTACTTGCTTGGGATTGGGCATACAATCTTGAGTAGGGGCTAAGAAAGGATTGTAACAAGTGTTGAAAGCATCCCTTGCACTCCTAAGGGACTGTAACAGATGTTTGAAGCACTCCTTGCACTCCTAGAAAGGAGACTAAGCATCACTACAACCTCATTACTTACAAGCTTTCAATCTGAGTACTTGCTTGGGATTGGGCATACAATCTTGAGTAGGGGCTAAGAAAGGATTGTAACAAGTGTTGAAAGCATCCCTTGCACTCCTAAGGGACTGTAACAGATGTTTGAAGCACTCCTTGCACTCCTAGAAAGGAAGACTAACATCACTACAACCTCATTACTTACAAGCTTTCAATCTGAGTACTTGCTTGGGATTGGGCATACAATCTTGAGTAGGGGCTAAGAAAGGATTGTAACAAGTGTTGAAAGCATCCCTTGCACTCCTAAGGGACTGTAACAGATGTTTGAAGCACTCCTTGCACTCCTAGAAAGGATGACTAAGCATCACTACAACCTCATTACTTACAAGCTTTCAATCTGAGTACTTGCTTGGGATTGGGCATACAATCTTGAGTAGGGGCTAAGAAAGGATTGTAACAAGTGTTGAAAGCATCCCTTGCACTCCTAAGGGACTGTAACAGATGTTTGAAGCACTCCTTGCACTCCTAGAAAGGAAGACTAAGCATCACTACAACCTCATTACTTACAAGCTTTCAATCTGAGTACTTGCTTGGGATTGGGCATACAATCTTGAGTAGGGGCTAAGAAAGGATTGTAACAAGTGTTGAAAGCATCCCTTGCACTCCTAAGGGACTGTAACAGATGTTTGAAGCACTCCTTGCACTCCTAGAAAGGAAGACTAAGCATCACTACAACCTCATACTTACAAGCTTTCAATCTGAGTACTTGCTTGGGATTGGGCATACAATCTTGAGTAGGGGCTAAGAAAGGATGTAACAAGTGTTGAAAGCATCCCTTGCACTCCTAAGGGACTGTAACAGATGTTTGAAGCACTCCTTGCACTTCTAGAAAAGACTACTAACATCACTACAACCTCACTACTTACAAGCTTTCAATCTGAGTACTTGCTTGGGATTGGGCATACAATCTTGAGTAGGGGCTAAGAAAGGACTGTAACAAGTGTTGAAAGCATCCCTTGCACTCCTAAGGGACTGTAACAGATGTTTGAAACACTCCTTGCACTTCTAGAAAAGACTACTAACATCACTACAACCTCATTACTTACACATCATCACTATAGTGCTTGCTTAAGATTACTTACTCCAATTTTAAACAAGGACTAAGAAAGAGATTGTAACAGATGTCTAAAGCAACCCTCACAATCCTGAGAGAACCTGCTACAACCCCACACTTACAAACTATCAATCTACACCTAAGTAACAAATCAGACATCAGAAACTGTAATAAAACTTGTAAAATTATGCAAAGACTGATGAACAAGCAACAAAGCATCTAGTGGGCTCCCCCACTATCAATTCATACCAATACAAATGCAAGCACGGCACTGCTCAAAGTCCAAAACCAACCCCTTTTATGATGACACACCATAACCGATATAACGTTTTCGCCACAGACTGTTCTGACGAGATAAGCTCGCGGGACGGTGACATTGCCCCGACGGCGAAGGGGACTGCTGCGTGCCCAGAGGCCGGCAGTATAAACTACGTGAATTCTCTGGGGGATAGCCTGACTTCGCCGGTTCAACGGCTGTCAACAAATGGATTAGAACCGGCACCTAGAGTACCGGTAAATGGTAGAGTTCATACGACCATAGTCCAGCAGGGACGCGCCGGTACTATTCGGAATGGTCAGCCTGGCAACAGGAGATCCCAACAGGGGACATCTGACCAATTCTATACAAAACCACACTACAAATGCCCCCTTTTCACTGAAAGGGAACAGCTCCAAGAAAAGCTTGGTAGGAAGGAGGGGTATAAAATTGCACTCCTGAATATCAAGGGACAAAGACATGAAAACAAGAACTCTAAGTACAAAACTCTATGCCCCATTATTCGAAAGAGTAAGGCGGCGATAGTAGCTTTGACTGAAACCAAACTCAAACTGGACGACGAGGATGAAATCAATGCTGCGAATCCTAAGATCCACATTGTAAGCAACCCAGGACTCGATTCAGAGAACGCACAGGCAGGCATAGCATTCGCGTTGAACAAAGACATTATTAGAGACAAACAGTGGACACATGAAATCCTTATCCAGGGCAGAATGTCAAAGTTCTGCATAAACTGGACTGAGGAACATGAGACTACTATAATCCTAGTATACGTCCCTAACGACCTCACTGAGAAAATAGCATTCCTTACAAAAGCAAACAGCATCCTGGAGCAACAAAACCTCGAATCCTCCATAATAATGGGGGACTGGAACAGTGTTGAATGCAGCATTGACAGGTCGCCCCCTCACAGGGACGATAGAAGGGTGGAAAGGCTCCTACAGCAAATAAGATTCACTACAAATACAATGGACGGATGGAGAATGATGTACCCTACGGCGCAGCACTTCACCTATCATCATAACAGTGGCAGCCTGGCTAGAATAGACAGGATATACTGCACCAAAGATATTTTCTTATCATCATACAACTGGAACACTACAGTCACTCAGACACTGAGCGACCACGACATGATTGAGATGGAGATCCTCAAAAAGAACCTCCCCTACATTGGGCCAGGGGCCGAGAGAGTCTACACATCGCAATTGAACGACCCAACCATACAAAAGCAGATCAGGAACAAAATGCTCAGCTACCAGTCAAAGTTCGAAAAATACGAAACTGAGACTAGGACGCTCAACAACTCCCAACTTAAACAGTACAGGGAAACAAACAACCCCCAGATAATCCACAAAGCAATGAAGGCAGACCTTATAGAGATGATTAAGGAAACTGCAAAGTTGCAACACACACAGAAAGTGGCAGAAGTCACTAACAAAACCGCAACCTACTTCTCAGCGCTGAGACGGCTGAAAGAGGCTAAGCTGGAGGACAAACAAAATCATCAGCAAAGAGTCAAGGCTGCAAGGCAGGAACTCAATGCCACAATCACTGCCAACAGAATCAAAGCCCAGCTGAGCGCTAAGGGAAGGTTCAGCAAGGAGGGCGAAAAGAATACAAAATACTGGTACAACCTAGTCAAACCGGTCCACAGCAAGAGAATCAAGGGCCTGGTTAAAAAGGGGTACAAGGAATCAGAATACATTGCAAAGCTGGATACAGGAAACGAAAGCTTGACCACAGAGACCTCTAAAATGGTTGAAGTGGCCTCACAATATCATAAAACACTGCAGGAGGAGCAAAAAATGACTGATGAGAGGAGATCAGCCATTAACAAAATCATAAACCTGAACAAACCAAAACTTTCAGGGACACAAAACACAGACATAGGATTGCTTATAGCCCCAGAAGAAGTGGAGGAAGCAATCAAACTAAGCCATACAAACAAAGCGCCGGGAAAAGACGGACTCATTTACGAGCTATGGAAATTGTGGAAGCGCCCCAGCGCCGACGATAAGGACAAGGATCCTGACGTTCCATTGATGCTCACCAAAGTCTTCAATGACATACAAAACTTCGGTATGGAGGATAAAAGCTTCAACGAAGGACTCATGTTTCTTCTATACAAAAAGAAGGAAAAAACCAAGATCGAAAATTACAGACCCATCACTCTGCTTAACACAGACTACAAAATCATGACGAAGGTGCTAGCAATGCGTCTAGGTGAGCTGGCCCCCAGCATTATTCACCCTGACCAAGCAGGTTTCGTACCTGGGCGAAGCATCTTCAACAACATCAGACTGACACAATCAATAATACACTACTGTGACATTTATGAGATAAATGGATGCATAGTAGCGTTAGACCAGGAAAAAGCCTACGACAGGATAGCCCACGATTATCTGTGGGAGATACTGGAGAACTTTGGCTTCCCTAACACTTTCATCAACACCGTAAAGGCGTTGTATACAAATGCAGGAACGAGTGTAATGGTTAATGGAGTGATACCGACAGCGATCCCTGTGCAGAGAGGAGTGAGGCAAGGAGACCCGATGTCGTGCATACTTTATAACATTGCGATTGAACCGCTGGCTATCATGCTGAGACAATCAGACCTCAAAGGGGTCGATATATCAAAACTAAGCGAGAGGATAATCACCTCACTGTTCGCGGACGACACAATGATATATCTAGGCCCCTCAGATAGTATTGAGGCCGTGAACAAAATCACTGACACCTTCTGCCTGGCAACTACGGCCAGGTTTAACAAGTCAAAAACCGAATACCTACCGCTAGGAAGCGTCGAACACAGAAACAAAGTGGTCAACGAACGCAAGTTCAACGGCTCAACAATACCAGATGACGCATCAATCATTAAGGACGATGGCTTACTCCGAACGCTAGGAGCAATGACCGGACACAATCCAAACGCGAACGAGAAATGGGAATTAGTACTTGAACGCACCAACCAAATCATTAGCGCATGGGCAGAATCTCACCCCTCCTACAGAGGCAAAGAGCTCATAACAAAAGCACTTGTAATGTCACTAGGTTTCTACCTAAGCACTGTGAACGGAATGCCTCCACACATTGCAGACCAACTCGAAAAACAAATCAAAGACTTTGTATGGGACGGCAAAGCCAAAGGATACACCCAGTGGGGCAAAGCGATGCTCCCACACGAAGAAGGGGGCCTTAATATGCCTAACATCGAAGCAAGGACGGAAGCGATTCACATTATGTGGGTCAAAGACTTCCTAGCCAACGACGAAACAAGGCCCAGGTGGGCTTATATAGTCGACGAAATCATAAACTCATCCATTACAAAAAATCCGATAGTGGACGAAAAGAGCCGCATTAACTGGATACTACAAACATGGCACGAGTCCGAAGCACAGGACTCGAAGATCCCACCTTCCATAAAGGAAGCCCTAAACACTGCGCGCAAGTATAACATTGGGGTAAACCCGCTACGAGTAGCCGAGAGCGTCAAACTCAAAGCACCGATATGGTACCACATAAGCGTGACAGATAACTATACATGGAACAAGAAGGCAGCAAAGTGCCTCAGACACAATCATAACGTACAAATAGTAGGAGACCTACTAAACATCATCCCAGCTGCAAAGTGCAGCAATCTCGAGACCTGCCAGAATATGGCAGCGACTCTGATCAGTAAACTGAGTGGCAAATACCACCCAGAGCATAGTGAACTGAACGGAAAAGAACTCGATCACACCCCCATCAGACTCAACAAATGGAAAGACGCAGACAGTAAGATTGAAGCGGTGCTGTTAAATCCGGACTTTACAGAAAGGAATTCGCTTCAATCGTCTGTTAGGATCTTCCAAGACAATACCACCTACAAAAAGAGACGGCACCAAGATGCGTCGATGCAAGCACAGCCCGCTAACAGAGGGCAACAAATACACATCAAAAAGAGCGTAAACGTATACATCTCCGCAGCGGCCAAGAAAATTGGAAGTACGAATGAAAATGCCGCGTGGGGAATAGTAACGGATACAGCGCTCGAAAAGACACAACAGCAGGGCAAAGTAGTGAACAACATAGCTACTATAGAAGTAGCGCTACTCACTGCCTTAATAAAAGTGCTTGAGGAAAACGAGCCACACCATCTAACAATCTACACAACGAGCAAGCTGATCGCAGACTCGCTACACAAAAAGCTTAACAAATGGGAGGATAACAACTTCCACAACGTGGGAAATAAGGAACACTGGAAAGCCGTACTCTACCGCCTAAGAAAGCGTACTGGGGAAACCTATGTACGCTGGGAGAGTAGGGAGGATCGCAGTGAGGAAATGACCCACGCCCACGACATTGCCAAAAAAGCACTCAAAGAGGAAGAGGCTTGGAGCGAACCAAACCTCACAATTGAACCAGAATTTGAAGTGTCAGGAGCCAGACTTCAGACCCTCACGCATAGGACGGCATACAACATCATTAAGGAGAAAAAAGCGGCCAAAATCGGTCTGACTTACCAAGACGAAATCACGCTGAGGAAGATCAAAGGAGGACTGAAAAAGGTTCTCAAATGCTATCCCACAGACAGCACGCTCTTCCTCAACAATAAGAACGCCCCCATAAACAACAAAATCAAAGACTTCCTATGGAAACTCCTCAACAACAGGTTGAAGACCGGCACGTACTTCAAATACATGCCCGAATGGGAAGACAAACAGTACTGCTCATGTGGAGAGATAGAATCTCCAGAACACATTCTTATGGAATGCAAGGAGCACAACCCACAAATACTATGGGACTACCTAGCAAAGGTCTGGGAAACTATGACTGATGCGAAGTGGGTCGAACCCAACTATGGAATGCTAGCAGGCATTGCATCAGTGAAGCTGCACGCAAGCAAAAAGTGCAGAGACGACAACAACGCAAGCATGACGCTGAGATATCAGACCATGGTGGCTAACGCTATCTGGGTGATATGGAAGCAACGTAACCAGAGAGTTATTCAGGAAAAAGAGATCAAGCCTGACCAACTTATAACTTCATGGATCTACGCGATGGAGAACGAGATACAAACGCAGTTTCATAGCATTAAACTGCGCAAATCATCGAAGGGCAAGGAGACGGCCCGGGACAAATTCCTAGATACTTACTGCCTGAAGCCCGCTTTCACGTGGGTCTCTGGAAGCTTCAAATCAGTAAGAGTAGACATTGAACTACTTAAAAAATCGATCCAAGGTGAATCCAATAACACCAGTACAAATATTGCGACAAATCGGCGTAGCAGCTTCGTGGCTGCCTCCCAGGATGGTGATTCTGAATGGGAGTTCGGGGTTCAAGAGATCGGTTCTCAAGAGCTACGCGAATGCGAGTGGTGGAACGACTGGGAAGAGGCAGCGGATTGCGATCCGTCAGCTGGCCCAGAAGTAACCACCGAGGCAGGATTTTTAGTGGGTACATCACTGGTCTGACCAGATATGAGAGCCCCACACATGGGGTTGGGAGTCGCTAACCCAACACTGATGCGCAAGCATCAACCCAGCCAGTGCGTAATGCATTTTCTCCTCCTACGAATCAAAAAAAAAAAAAAAAACGATCAGATACCCCTCGCAGGGAGGAAAGGCGAAAGCCTTGAAGATACCCAGCTATGTGGAGCGTTGTTGTCGCGCGAGGGCTTACTCGGTTAACACCGGACTAATCCACAGGTGCATGTTGGCTTTAAGTGATGAAAGGAAAGGCAGTAAGAGAGAGGTAAACTCTGCTCGAGAATGCTTTCTGAGAGTAATGTACGAGGCAGGCAGTTGCCCGAGTGTCGCTAGTAGTGAAAGGAAAACCTAAAGATGGCTAGTACAACAAAGTAATGAACGCGACACGAGGAAGCAAGCTGGACTAGTAGGCAGCAATGTCTAGTACGCACCGAAAGGTTGCAGGACGCATTGCTGGTAGAAAAGCCAGTTTGAATTTGAAGGAAGTGAGATCAGAATGGTGCAACAAGACTATGGGTATTGAACTGCTGGACTAAGAGGTCCGCAAAGTAGTACTATAGATGAGGCACTTGAACGAAGGAACTCCTTCAAAGTGGATTTGAACACCACATTGAACGCTTCTCGAGTACCGCAAGGGAAAGGGAGGGCAGCCTAAAAGCTGCTCTGAACCTGAGCTAGTGCTCGGACACCGTGTAAGCCCAGCCGGTGAGGGAATATTCTAGTACAGACATTGGGTCGATTCTAGAGGACATGTAAGAGTAGCTAGTTGTTAATGCCACATGTTCAACCTAGGGTGCCCCTGTGGCCCCCCGAGTGTGTGCGTTAAAAATCTAGTGGCCTATCGAACTACCCACTGTGAGTCTTAGAACCGCTGGGTAACAAAAGCGGCACATTGATTGGATTATAAAAGCGTTATCACAAAAACACAACAAGACTTTAAGCAACTGTATCGCAGAGCGCGACCTGCTCTTTAGTGAGTGGGACGAGCCCGTAGAGTGATGCGAGCTAATGTCTGTTAAAAGAATATAATGGTCAAGGGTTCGAAGAAGAAGGAGAGAAAGGCAGAGAAGGAAGGAATTCCTGCGGGCCAGCCCGTTGGTTAGTACTGGAGTAACTGCCCGTGAATTGTTTCTAATGGTGGTATAGAAACAAAAAAGCGCAAACGCGCTAACTCCTCCTCTCCGAAAAAGGGAGCGAAAAAAGCGACGGGGGCTCATCAGCAGTCCCCGAAGCCCGTAGCGATTCAAATGAGGGAAGACATCGAGATGTTAGAAGGTGATGCTTCAAACATCGAGGTGCATGCAGATGCCCGGAGTTCCGCAAAGAACAAAGGGAAGCAAAAGGCGATGCGTGTTGACGAGGAAGAGGTGGATATAGGAAGTGACTTAAGGCTGTCACCGAGTACTAGTCCAGAACCTCCCGAAGGGCATCGGGAGGAGGAGGAAGAGGTGCCACCAACGGGGGCTTTCAAAGCTTTGACTTTGGAAGAGGATGAAGATGTGGATGAAGGAGAAGCGGTATGGACTTTGACGGCTGAAACGGCTGTTAAGGGACTACCGTCAGGCTCTAGTGGATCATCCCCCGTTGGAAACCTGTTGGATAACAGCTGGACTAGCTGGGCAGAACTGAAGCAGATGAACTTGAATGGACAGCGACCGCCCCCTCCACCCTTCCTCGATAACATCCCGGGGGCTCTTAAGCCCTGGTTAAAAATTGAGGCGAAGAGAGATGCATTACTGACTCAGACGATGGTAATAGTCGTCATGAGCGGGATATTCAGCCCATCCAAAGATCATTTTATCGGGAGTGCAGTCTGGAAAGCGACGAACGGGGAAACTCGGGGTCGCCGGTACGACATTGTCCCCGGTAAGAAATGGATAGCTTGGGTACTTGACAACACGGACCAGGCGCAGAAATGCGTCAGCGAAGTAATGCTGATCACTAGCCTCCGCCGCTGCATGGTATGTTTCTTCCCGACCCGCGTGAAGCCTCCAACGATAAGAATCAGAACACTATATCCTGTACTTCCTAACACCAAGGACGGACTAGTCGCCGCCTTCGAGAAGTACTTGGAAAAGCTTCAGGTCAACTCGCCCAGTGGACCGAAGCCGTCTCCAATAAAAATCATTGAGTTACAGCGTGAAGTAAGGCCTATAATATCACACTAGCAGCCATGCTAAAAACAGCTTAATAGATGGATAGCGATAGAGGAGCATTGCGCATCAAGTTCAGAATGTCGCCCCCGGATGCCGCTTCCTTCTGGAAGTTGAGCGGGGCTTCATTCGAACACAACGGATCCAATTTTGCCTTAACAGATGTACACCCCTGTAATAGTTGTTGGTTGGAGGACCATGCGAACCCGGACTGTTGGTGGTTTGGATCGCCCTGTAACGCAGTCATGTCCTGGCACTTGATTTTTAACCATACTGCTCCGAGTAAGGCCATGGTATCACGGATGGAGGAGGATACGGCCCCAAAGAAGGGGAAGAAGGTTTCTAAGAAGAGGGCTAAGGGCTAGCGGGAAGGCAACGAATGTATAATATCATGCGCACTCATTAGATCATATGCTTGTAGTACTGTACGGTCTCGAACGATTGCATTGCTTTTTTCTTCTTTTCTAAAATGCGAGCGTGAAAGACCCCGTCTTCTTTAGACAACCCAGCGGTAAGTTTTTTGTCACGTGGGCAGTTTAGGGCAGGTCCGAGGAAACTTGGAAATGCTCGAGGTAGCCCGATAAGAAAAGCCACAAAAGATAAACAACATCCTGATAGTAAGACTTCAAAGAACGGGCGAGATCCGTTCAATGAAGACTTACTGTCAATACAAAAACACTAACACCTCACTAACAATCATACTAATAACATCACTACAACTTCCTTACCTTACTACAACCTCCTTACCTTACTACAACCTCCTTACTTATACACTTTCATTCTAAGACTTGCTTGGGATTGGGTACTACAATCTTGGGTAGAGGCTAAGAAAGGTTTGTAACAAGTGTGTAAAAGCACTCCTTACACTCCTAGAAAGGATCACTAGTATAACTACAATCTCCTTACTTATAAACTTTCACTCTAAGTACTTGCTTAAGATTGGGTACTACAATCTTGAGTAGGGGCTGAGAAAGGATTGTAACAAGTGTTGAAAGCATCCCTTGCACTCCTAAGGGACTGTAACAGATGTTTGAAGCACTCCTTGCACTCCTAGAAAGGAAGACTAAGCATCACTACAACCTCATTACTTACAAGCTTTCAATCTGAGTACTTGCTTGGGATTGGGCATACAATCTTGAGTAGGGGCTAAGAAAGGATTGTAACAAGTGTTGAAAGCATCCCTTGCACTCCTAAGGGACTGTAACAGATGTTTGAACCACTCCTTGCACTCCTAGAAAGGATGACTAAGCATCAATACAACCTCATTACTTACAAGCTTTCAATCTGAGTACTTGCTTGGGATTGGGCATACAATCTTGAGTAGGGGCTGAGAAAGGATTGTAACAAGTGTTGAAAGCATCCCTTGCACTCCTAAGGGACTGTAACAGATGTTTGAAGCACTCCTTGCACTTCTAGAAAAGACTACTAACATCACTACAACCTCATTACTTACACATCATCACTATAGTGCTTGCTTAAGATTACTTACTCCAATTTTAAACAAGGACTAAGAAAGAGATTGTAACAGATGTCTAAAGCAACCCTCACAATCCTGAGAGAACCTGCTACAACCCCACACTTACAAACTATCAATCTACACCTAAGTAACAAATCAGACATCAGAAACTGTAATAAAACTTGTAAAATTATGCAAAGACTGATGAACAAGCAACAAAGCATCTAGTGGGCTCCCCCACTATCAATTCATACCAATACAAATGCAAGCACGGCACTGCTCAAAGTCCAAAACCAACCCCTTTTATGATGACACACCATAACCGATATAACGTTTTCGCCACAGACTGTTCTGACGAGATAAGCTCGCGGGACGGTGACATTGCCCCGACGGCGAAGGGGACTGCTGCGTGCCCAGAGGCCGGCAGTATAAACTACGTGAATTCTCTGGGGGATAGCCTGACTTCGCCGGTTCAACGGCTGTCAACAAATGGATTAGAACCGGCACCTAGAGTACCGGTAAATGGTAGAGTTCATACGACCATAGTCCAGCAGGGACGCGCCGGTACTATTCGGAATGGTCAGCCTGGCAACAGGAGATCCCAACAGGGGACATCTGACCAATTCTATACAAAACCACACTACAAATGCCCCCTTTTCACTGAAAGGGAACAGCTC